ACTATATCATCTGGTAATGGCAGTCTAGGAGATTCAAGAATCCTTGGTTTGCGTGGTTTGCTTTCATAAAGAGAAAGCAAGCACTTTTGTTATGGAGAATCCCCACGTTTTGGAGAACCATGAGACCCTGGTTCTGTTGATGTCAATTAATTAATCCTGGCAGCTTACTGGATAGTTTGTTCAGCCATTTGGAGCTATTGTTTTCATGTATACATCCTGTCTTGTGTTATTTTTCCTGCTATAACTAATAGAGATACTTAGGAAAGAATTTTAGACAAGGAAAATAATTGTTTCAAATAATTCCACGTTTCAAGTCTGTAACCTAGGCAGCCAGGCAATTTGATTAGAATACGGTTGCTGAATCAAGTTTTTTTTTTTTTTTTAATGTTAAGTGTGTTCACTTTTGTGATTATTAAAATCAGAAAGTTCATTATGGCTCTCTTCTGCCTTGGCCACAAGGATGCCTCAGACTAGAAGGGCCCATTCACAGTGAGGGTTTTCCTGCTGGGGTTTAAATAGCCACTTCATATTTTCAGAGTGTTTTCATGTTGTTTATTTTATTATTCCGCTGTATCTAAACTCTTGTGTTTCTGGGACAAGTCAGAGAGTTCATTACTTTTAATAAGAAATAATATGCACCCACCATGTATCAGGCATCGTTTCAAAGGATGGGAATATAGCTAAGAATTATTTTCATGGGGGAAGTGTCTATAAAAGAAGGGAGGGGAAGACTTGCTAGTAAAACCACCAAGGACAGTGAAATTCATAGACATTCCTTCACAGAAAAACCTGTCAACATCAATTTGGCCCCCGGGAAGAATTTAGTTAATACAGTGAGTGCTGACGTCTCCTGATAATTGCTTACTTGGGTACCCAGAACTAGTTCCTTGCCTTATAACCCTCTTCTCGAGGGTCCTACAATAAAACTAATCTTTATCCCCGGGCCTGTGTTGAGTGTTAGCTAAGCCCTCATGAAGGAAAAGCTTTTAAATAGATTGCCCCTTTGTGGCAGATCCAGCTTCCAGGAAAGGGAGTTTCGGGTCTTGGCTTTCCTCCCTTGCAGTCTCTGAAACTGCAACAAGCAAGAGCACCTCGAAGATCCAGCCATAAATACTGCGCACACTGCTAACCTGGCAGGACTGCTTCCTAAAGGGAAGCACTGTGGAGGAGATGGTTCTAGGTTGGTGGGCCCAGACTTTCCCCTCCTTTCAGAGTTGTTTTACTGGCTTGCATATTCCTGTCACACAATGACCCTAGACTGGCCTGCTTGCTGCCTGCCTGAGGTTGAAAAAAAAAAAAAAAAGGTATTGAAATTTACAAGGATCTTGCCCTTGGCCTCGGCTCCCAGGGAGCAGCATTCTCACACATTCTAAGATGGTGGCTCCTCACAAAAGCCCTGTCGTCAGGCAAAACAGCTCAACCAGGCTGCCTACAGACGAGCACGTGCTTATCACCTGCCTGGAAGTGGCAAATAAAAGAGCACTCTCTGGCCGCTCTGAAAACGGAGACTTGGAGGTACTTATATATCCAAAGGGGGCAAAGTCCCGGGCTTCCCAGTGAACTGTGTGCCTTTAGACTTCTCAGACTAACATAAAAGCCTCTAAATAATAGAATTGCCCTTACTTCACAGAGAAAGGAAGTTAAAATATTTTTTTGAGCGGTACCTTGCTGACTCTGAGACAAGAAAATGCCCCAGTAGCTGGTTTTCTTTTTTAAAGAAATTGTAAGAGGCATCTCAAATGCAAATAAAGAAAACAGCACAGGACTCCAGTGAGAGGAGAAGGCAATCCAAGAAATATATATATCCGATTCACTCCCTAAATTCTTCAAGGGAATTTTTAGAAAAGGGGCAAAGAAATCACTTCATTAGCTGTACGCTAACATTTCAAATTTATGGGGCAGGGTGAGACTTGGTCACAATCGTCAATTTTAATGTAAGTAGAAAAACTCACAATGTAATAAACGGGTAGGTCGTCGGGAAGAATGTAAAAACCACCGAGTCTGGTCCCTGAAAATCACGGCTTTCCTCGTGTTCTTCTCTCTACTCAGTGAGCTAAATCACTTAAGCACCAGCGAACAGATGACCAACTTCGGGCGGCGCGGCTGGGTCAACACCTCCTTTTCCCTTTAGATTTGTCGGCCTGTCTTTCTTTCCTAATGGCATTTCGTTTCTAGGACAGTCCCTCCTCCCCGTATCTATCGGTCTAATTATCCCATTGTTCAAGTCTTTCAAAAGGAAAGAAAGGCGGATTGCCCTGAGAGGGGACGTCTTTTCTTCTGCGCTGGTTCTTAGTAAGCTTTCCAGCAACTCTCCCTGAAACCGATGTCGCAGGGGGCAGATGGGGCTTAAAGTCCCAAGATTCTCTTTCTTTCTCTCAGCTTAGACACCCCAGTTCCTCCCCCAGTACCCACCTTTCTCTCTCTCTCTCTCTCTCTCTCTCTCTCTCTCTCTCTCTCTCTCTC